TAAACTGTGATGTACATGTAACACAACCAAGGAACGAAATAATTTTTGTATCCTAGCTTGTGCTATAGAAGTTGTTCACTGTGACAGGACTTATAAGGGAACATGTGTGCGCTAGAAAGTGACAAACGTGAGCATGTGGTGGACACACGCACAAGAGAATAATAAGGGTAATTTATCACTCATTCGAATATATTTATGTCATTATCTGTTACTTTGACAATCTCTATGTTAATTTGGAGAAATTAACTAACAAAACCTTAACTTTTACTAAGGAAGCGTTTGATTGCGAACATGAAATTTGCATGGAAAAAAAATAAATTCTAGACAATTCAATTGCCTATAAATTATTTGTATGAAAATTATTAATTAAATGCATTTGATTGATTTGGTTTTCAACCTAAGAAATATTATACTTGTTCATTTTTTATTAGTGAGTAGATGGGAGAGGACGAATAGATGAGAGAGGGAAAGAGATAGTGAATTACCTGAAAAATAAAAACTACATCTCCTAAAGAAAATATTATTTTCCTTGTTTTCAAGGAAAATATGTTCACGCGACCAAAAGTAAGAAAATATTTTTAGTAGAAAAAATAATAAATCAAACAGCATAAGAGTGGGAAATTAGGTAGTAAAAATACATTTTTCATGAAAAATATTGACAATCAAACGCACCATAAGTGTGAATGCATCATATTCCTCAAACTAAGGTTTCCAATGGCCGAAATATTCTCATCTTAAAAGAAAAAATGCTCATCTCCAATCGGTACACTTAACTATATAAGCCACTCCTATTGGCGTGTGCCTTCCACAATTCTCCATATCCTTATAAAAAAAAAAGAGTACATCCCAAACCATATAATCTCCTTTCAATTCTTCTCTTTTTTTTCGTACATGGAAGCAATCAACCCAAGAAAGCCGGAAAATGGGACCAACAAAACCTTAACATCTGTAAATAATGATATAGAAGGGCACATATTTCAAGAACTCGAAGAAGTTGAAGTTTATGATTACTCGTAGCAAGCAAATTGGCTTAGAGGTGATGTTCTAGGCAGGGGTGGATAAAATCCAAATCAACCAGCTTTTATTTTATAGTTGGGTTGGGTGTTGGGCAAAGAATGCAGGTTGGGTCACGTCACGAGTTAATCCAAGAAAACCGATTTAACCCAGTCCAACCCGGCCCACTTAGTTTAAAAAAAAACGCAACTTCATTCCAAAAGGCAAAAGTCATGGGACAAACAAGTTACAAAATACAATTACACAACCCTAACCTAATAATCTTCATCCTCCTCTCTCTCTCTCTCTCTCTCTCCCACAGTCCAACAACTCCACTTGCTGCCTCCCCTCTTATTTTCTCACCAAGAAATGAGAAATTATTTTTTTATAAATTTCTTAATTGCTAAAATTTTGTAAATCTTTTAGAACTTTTGCACTTTAGAATCTTGATGAAGTTGTACTGATTATATATGATTATTCCAAGTTTATAATTTANTACAAGATGTCTCTATTTTCTTTCTTTAGCATTTTTTATTTATGCATTTCATGTGGTTGATAGGTTTTTATTGTCGGAATATACTTTTATGATTTTTAATTTCCAAACCGACCAACCAAACCCAACCCCGACCGAAACTTGATTGGGTTGGGTTAGAACACATAAATGAGTCGGATTGGTTTGATTTTCTATCAAACCGACCATATTGGGTTGGGTAAAAAGTCAACCCAACACAACCCACGTCCACCCCTAGTTCTAGGTGCAAATGATGGTTTACCATCAACTTCAGCGTTGATGATCGGAGTTGGGGCTGTCCACAAGGATGCCCAGACTATGATCCTCACCAGAATAGCTGGTTTGTGGCTGGAGCTTGTAGCATGGCCATTGGAGAATTCGTGTAGGTCTACTCACGATATGACATAGAAGTTGCTCAATTCATGAGAGAAATAGGGCTAAAGCTATGAAAAAGTTGCAACGGACGAGGCCAAAAAGGAAAAATTGTCAAACCCTTTTCAAGCAGTTGTCTGCCTTTATGATGCAGTATGAAAAGTCTTCTAAGTGTATGATAAATTAAATTAATTAAGGTTTATGTTGTTTTTCTTATTTTCAATTATTGTGTTCGTGATACAATTTAGTTTGTTTCCTTGAAGAGAAAACTCTAGTTTTTCTTATTTATACTAATTTAGACTCTATTTAAAGATGTTCTCTCCTTGTAATAGCATTATTAAATTTCCATATATAAATTATATTTGTCCTTATGCAATATTAAACATTAGCGAAATGATTCAACAATAAAAATTTGCCATCCTAAGTCAATACAACGTACTTTTGCCTGAGTCTCGATCTGAAAGGTTAATTTAAGGGTGTGAACACAGGGGATTCCTTGATTATATATCGGCATAGTTAATTGCTGTGTCAATTAACTATTCAACTTTGAACGCCTATAGGTAGCTTTTTTTTTTAATGGGTGTGTGTCCTCCATGTGCTTTTGTCCACGGTCGACAAGAACTTTAGCACAAACTAGAATATGAATTTTTTTCATAAACATTAAAAAAAAAAGGTGATGCCTTTAGAGGCGAGAAAGGAAGATGAACTCGCATTCGTATGTTGATTTAAAAAATTTAGGACAAGAAATTAGAGAAATTCACAAATCTATCATTTTTTAATCAAAACAATTCAGGCTAACTTCAATAATCAGACGATCCAACTAAACAATAGAAATATAAAAGAAAATTTTATATTTGACAATAATATCTCATACTGAAACAAACAGTTCTAAAAGCATCGTTGCAAGAAAAAAAAAACACTTAAAAATAATAATAAAATCTTAATTGATTCATTAATTGTTCACTGAATTAATAGGCCACGTCGAGAAATGGAGATAAGATTAACAATAAAATAGGCAAATCATATCGATACCGTAGTCTTCATTTAACTAGAAAATGAGTCAAATTTCTAGATGGTCTAATTAATTGATTTGACTTAATAAATGATACACTGATTGCTTCCATGGAAATCAACAAGAGAGGCAGATTTCTAAAGGGAGATGGTAGGATTTGCATATATATATATATATATATATGGAGAAGTGCGGAAGGCACATGCCAATGGCCCAATGGGATTGGCTTATTATAAATAAATTTTTGATTTTTTTTTACTATCTCGAAGTAAATGAAGATAGAAGTTATCAAAATATGAGATACGAGGTAAATATTTCAATCTATTATATGAAGGAGAGAAACTTCATACTATTCTATATGCATACGTGGTAGAATTGTTTATACAAATCATGATACCAGAACCTCGATTGAACCATTCAAATTGCGATACCTCAATATCGCATACCCACGTTAAAATTATTTGAAAATAGAGAGAGATTAAAATAATTATTTGATTGAACCATTCAATTTGCGACACCTCAATAATGCATACCCACGTTAAAATTATTTTAAAATAGAGAAATATTAAAATAATTATTTTTAAAATATTGTTATGCATATTTGGTGTGTGTTGAATTCTAATAAGTTATATAGAATTTTTTAAAAAAATAAAATAGTTATGCTTAGTGTTGCCTGCATTATATTCCATTCTATATATAAGCAAGGAATGACATATAAAATAAGAAAATAACGTAATACAAAAAAATGTGTATTTTTAAGTTTGAATAAAGCTACTGGTACAATCTTTGTTGACTATTCTTGTGTTGTCATGATCTATATCGTTAATTTAAAAAAATAATTTTTAAAATGAATAGCATAGATTCCTGCCAACAAAATTTTAAACCATGATTGTTAATCTTTAAGAGCCTGTTTGTCATCCATTTTTGTTGTTAAAATGGTGTAATGAATAGTATTTTTTGGAGAATGTGTGGTTGAAATTTAAAGTTACTTTATTGGTTTATGTGTAGAATATTTTATTGGATAAATGTGTGGTGGAAAATCTTACTGTAGCAAACAATGTTTTGAAATAATGGATGATAAACAGGGGCTAAGTTTCCAAATTAGGTTTCTTCTGCTTAGTTTGCTATGATGGGCAAATGAAGAATACTAAATGGAAAACAGAAAGACGTATCATTCTCCTCACTCACTTCCATGTTTCAAATTTATTGTATTAAATATGTGGTAAAGTTTATATAAAACACATATTTTATGGTAAAGTTTAAATAAAGGACGCAATAAAACAAGAACAAATTTAAATATTGAATGGAAGACACGTTAATCTATATTAGGACAGTTTAGATTAAAGTCTCATTAGATCATTTCTGTGTACAGAAATGATCTAATGAGCACCGGTGCTCATCTTATCCTAAGCACCGATGAGTTGGCACATTAATTCATTGGTGGATAAAAATTTTGTGAGTTCCAATCCACCAATGAGTTGGCACATTAATATAAGTTAAAGTCAATAATTAATTATAAACACATATTTTATGGGATTTGTGATTTTTTCAACCACACATCTATCAACTTAACTATTAAAGAATAAATCTAATTTTTAACTCGCCAAATGGGGCTAAATCACCATATGGATGATAATTATATATTTCCTACGTCCCATAAGGATAAATTTGCTTCCATTTTCACAAAAATTAAGAAAATATAATTAATATAATTTAAAATATAAATTTTACTTACATTTTTCATAATATATCCTACATTAAATAATGGTTTAAATAGTAATAGTTTATATTTATTGATAATAAGGCAATTAAATAGGGAAATATTAGAAACAAAGAAATTAACTATACTGAGCAAGAAAAATTAACCTATAATTTTTAGAACACGTGAAAAAATAAAGCAAAATCTATTTTTATGGGGCATATGAAATATTAATAATGGGAAAAAAAAAAAAGAGGAAATACACAAAATTAAGAAAAATATAAAAGAAATCACTAACATACAAGAAACATACTCGACAGACCATATTGAAAAACACTACACGCAACAAGAACAACACATAAATTTTGTTTTAACTTATTTTTCTTGTCAAATCTAGCATTTCGACCATTTCATTAAAGTCCAGTGGAACCAATAGCTTTTGTAAGACCAAAAGATATTCCCATAGCCAACCACCCTCCAATTAACACCCTCAAGGAAGATCTCACAAGAGGTGCCCTCCCTAAGAAAGCCCCAACTCCACCAAACCCTAAAAGTGCAATACTCACGGCAGCCACCACCACCCCTAACCTTACGTGGTAGTCACCTATGAAAGCTGCTGACAGCAAAGGCACTATTGCCCCTACCATGAAAGCAAAAGCTGACGCTGCGGCTGCTTGAAAAGGGTCTGGCAATTTCTCTTTCTTGGCCTCATCCACATCATTTTTTTCAGCAATTTTAGTCATGTTCTCTCTCTTGAATTGTGCCACTTCTATGTCATATTGTGAGTACACGGACACAAATTCTCCGATGGCCATGCTACAAGCTCCGGACACCAAACCGGCTATTCCGGTGAGGATCATCGTCTTGGAATCCTTGCGGACAGCCCCAACTCCGATCATCAACGATGAAATTGATAGTAAACCATCATTTGCACCTAGAACAGCAGCTCTAAGCCACTGTGCTCGTTTTGAGTAATCATAAACTTCA